GATAGAATAATTGAAGTCAACCTCATGATAGCCCTGAGGCTTCTGCGTGGTGATCCTGATAACATTGTTTCCTTAAAATTGCTAGAATGTATGAACCATGGGACTACTGAGTCTAGATGGATCCAAACTACAGCTACACATATAAAGATGTTTGGACTAGACCACCTGTACAAAGTTAAGAGACAACAGCGCTTCCTGCCACCCTGGCGGACAGTTCCCTTCGATATCACAATACCGACGTATCCGCCTAAAAAATTAATGATACAAAGCATTTATCTCCAACACACTGCCAAATTGAGAGCTCTTGAACACATACACACTCTACAGACTGATGATAATATCACACAGACCATCTACACTGATGGATCTCTAAACACCGCCTGTGGGAGGGCTGGAAGTGCTATTGTTGTGACTCAACCTGACGGTAATATAATTGAGAAAGGAGTTAGAATTAACAACTGGGCATCCACTCTACAAACTGAATTAGTTGCCATACTCACAGCTATTAAATTCATTGAAACCACTGTTACTGACAGTCTCAACATCACTGACTCTCTATCCTCACTACTTGCCCTTGGTACCCTCGACTCAGGTTGTCACGCTCTTGTCTCTGAAGCCAGACACAAACATGTGTGCCTTGTTGACCGGGGTGTCAGGGTCAAACTGTTGTGGATCCCCTCTCACATAGGCCTCATAAAACAGGACAGAGTTGATGCCCTCGCCAAACTCGCGTCTAACAAAGACACCGTTGAATACAATTTGGGTCTGTCAAAAAGAACCACTAAAACTGTAATTAGGAAAGAACTTATTGATGAGTTTGACGCAAGTAGACAAGTGCAAACAGGCACTAGTCGATCCATAGGTTACCATGATGAGATGTATCAAGTGAAACATGTATATGGAGCAAGTAACAAGATCACTAGATTACAAGATGTTGTAACCGCTAGATTAAGGTTAGGATATAAGTACCTTTGGCAGTATGTTCCTCAAGCAGATGTAAACAAAACTAAATGTAAAGTGTGTGGCCATACATATGGCCACACACTTGAACACTACGTCCTCGACTGTGTGAAGATAGAACCTTTTAGGGACAGGTCCAAGCACACTGTGTGTGAAATGGCACAACACTTCATCTCTAATGGCAAGATAGCCGACATATTAAGATTGTATCCACTTTTTTGCACTTAGTAACTATATCAATTCTCATGTACAGAACCAAATACGCAATGTGTTTGAATACCTCCCACGTAAATGTGAATAACAAAGTGTGAGGCCAGACATACTGCCTCACACGCTTGTTCTCACGCATTTGTGAATAAGTTACCCTTTATGTATAGAACTAAACAAATAATGTAAATGAAATACTATGTAACATTCAGTGCCATAATATCCTGACAACGGGGGTTAATTATTATGACCCTTTGTAAACTCTACTCTGTAATCCTTTTGCGCTACCGCTCACAGGATGAGTGTGGGGTGCACAATAAAGTAGCAGCTGCAAGCGGCAAAATCAAAATCAAATCACCACCACCACTAACCACCAACACCACCACCACCACCACCAACACCACCACCACTACCCACCACCACCACTAACCACCACCACCACCACTACCCACCACCACCACCACCACCACCACCAC